TGTTTTCAGTGCAGCAAATACGCTTGATAGCTGTTTAAAGAACGACAAAACTTCCTGTGGACTAAATGATGCTGAACCACAAGAGTACTCTAAATACGTTGATATTGCAACAGATAGTAAGAAATCCTGTAAAGTCGGTTAGTACACAATTTCTGAGTTCTTGATTCCGCTAATTGGTAAAAATAAATTAATGGATTACCTAAATTTGAGCTCATTATGTTTATAACATGAAATATGCTCAAACTTGCCTTTACATACTGGCGTTGTTTGGTGTAAATCGGCAATAAACAATTTCATAATAAAAAAAACTGCAATTAAGGCAAATACCACAACAGTGGAAAAAGAGTCATTAATCACGTCTTTTTGCCCTTCATAATAATTCAAATTCTGTAGGCTTGATAGTCCAGAAAATCAAACAAATAACACTTACAAATGGACTTCAAATTAGCTCAAAGTAACTTTTTCACAAGTTTTCTTTTCACTTTTCCAATTTTAAGGGTACATTTTTCAGTGTAATTCATGTTATACAGCGTTTCAAATGAACGATTTTCATTTTTTTTATTTTGCACTTGTAAATTACTAGCTAGCAAGAGTGCAAAATTAAATGAAAAGTTACATTCGAAATACATTTGTGATCTAATAATATTATACCTGTACTTGATTCCTCGTTCACTAAGGGTATACATAAGGTTTCAAAGTTTCAAAAGGTCATATAGCCACACTCAGAGCTGTTCCAAGTTATTAGCACAATGGTTGTATTGTACTGGTCCTAAAATGACATTGTGTTGATAAAATTTAAAAGGGTGGGTACATAACCAAACTATTTTATACAATTATGGTGGCTTGGTTGTGGATTTGAATCTGATTTGCGTTATTCTTTTTTTACAGTTGACTGTGCAACAAATGGTCAAAAATGTACTGCATCCCTGGCATCCAATCCAAAATGTACCGACATCAACAATTTGAAAAGCTTAAAACTTGCTGAAGGAGTGAATTGTTGCAAGTAAGAAAAGTTTTACTTTCATCTGTTACTAATATCATATTTTTTTTAGCTTTATTTAAAACAAAATGAACATGCATTACATGAAATTGATTGATAAACATAATATAGTAGTACATGGTACTATAAAGACATAGGCCTACGAAGATTAATGCTACTTGTAAACACATTCAACTTAATATGTACATTTATTTATGCTTACAAAGTTGGTGGCAGAGAAATCAATAATTTAAAGTTGTAAGAGGACAGATTTAAAGATTTAAAAAGACAAGAAGGACCATTTACTTTAGTACATACCATTGATAGGAAACGTATTAGTTCAGTTTGTAATATGTTCTGTAAATATATTTCATATGAATTCTTATGTTTGATCGTTGTAGCTTTGTAAAATAAAATAAATATTTAGTTAAAATTATTGAATGATTAATAAAATTACATAATGACATAATGGGATTGAAATTATCTTAAAAAGACCAAATATTTTCAAGGAGATTGTTAATTTAATACCATTTGTATCCAAAATTTGTGAGAGAATATCCCATATTTTTGTGATTCACCACAAGATACGAAAAATTGCTCCACCTTTCTATTTCTGCACAACATAAATTACAGAGCACTGAATGTTTTTATACCTATTCTACATAGCTAATAGTTCAGTTTCTAGATATTTCATCCATGATATTTCACCCATAGATGTATTCCTGAATAATATTTCTTTTTTTGAATATCGTAAATATGTTTGGGTTTAATAGACTCTAGTCATATATAGGTTTTATTTATTGGCTTTGGAATGGTGTTTGTCTCAATAGTATAATTTGAAGGTTCATGAGATAATTTTTGAACACAAGATATCATGCCTAAAAAAGTAAGATTTTTTCTGTCAACTCTGATAGTTTGTATTATTGTGGGTCTGATAAATACAGCGAGGGCCGCCTTTAGTATGTAAAAGCATGTTGTTACAACTTTTTTACTCGTTCTAACAAATAACATTGTTTTCTTCACATCCAGTTTTACATGCATTTCAGAATTGGAACAAATACTAAGACATGTTTACAGGATTGTGGTGATAACAACATAATCAGCAGTGATCCACTTCTTCGGCAGTCCGAGGCATTATGTCGTGGTTACAACGGTATGTTTACAACACTTACAGTCCTATAACAATTCACCGAGAATATCTCTATTTTTCAGTCAGTAATTAATATGGAAAAATACTGAAAAATGGAAAAAATTTAACTTGATTGTACCAAATCATTTAAACTACCAATATTTTCGATTTTTAGTACTTTGAATCTAAAATATATTACCCATTTCTTATATGATTTGTGTTTCTATATACGTCTTTTCTATATATATATTGCAGAGTCTATTGCCATTTTTAGACAAAGAAATAACTATAAAAAGTGAAATTCCTAGTTTTTGAAGGAATTACATGATTTTCGTACATTTCCGGTACTTCTGTAAACTATTCATATATATCCATGACTCAAATCAACCTCGGAAAACGCTCATCCACAGCCAACGGCACAGATTGAAATTTCCACCAAGAGTTGCCTCCCATCAGTACCATTTTACAGTTGACAGAAGTTTAATAACCTGGCTAACAAACATAACTTACTGTAGTTGTTTCCATCACATTCCAGATTACTGCTCAGGAATGGATAGTTGTTTTGCAGACCTCTATCAAAAGGGCGGTTTCTCTGATCCTTCAACATTGTGCAAGTAAATATACTCCTAAATAAATAAAGATATATTTTGCTAACTACTTATTAACCACATTTATGATCCAAGGCAAAAAATGTTATTCTTTGCCTTATCACAATTATTTTTCCTCTGGGTTTCCCCCTATCAGTGATGCAGGTCGGAGGGGTGACATGAAATCGTCTAGTCGTTCGGATTGAACTATAAACTGAGACCCTGTATGCTACAAGCTGTGCATCTTAAATATCTGACAACTTGAAAGCGAAAATGAGAAGACAAATGCTACCAAAATTGTAGAATTCCCCTCATTGTGTACGGAATGGCTACTCGTTAGTCCTATCAGCAAACAATAGGACTCTATACTCTATTTCGTTTTTATTTCAGAAATGTTGATAGCTTCATTGCCTGTATTGAAAACAAATGTGCGAATAAGGGACAGATAGGTCGACAAACTTTATCCAAGATAAGAGAGGTATATAAGGATATTTGTGGAGGTAAGCATATCATTTTAACAAGAATATATTTAGCTATCTGAGATTGATTTTACATGTACATGTACACATAAGACAGTAAGTTCACCGGGCTGATTTGATATTTGGCGAGTTTCCTGTTTGCATATTTATATGAAACTGTAAAGAATGCAAAATTTTGAAAGATTTCTTTTCGTAACTCGTTATTGTATAATCACCTTAACCATAAACAATTTATGTTTTCAATCATCTATTTTGATAAATATTTTAATCTTCGATAGCGATGAATTCTTGAACACCCAAATTCTTGGGCTGTCCCACTATTGTAATTCCTATAAGAAAACTTTCTGTTTGTGATGATAATGTCTATACTTGTTATGATTGTTTGTCTGCACTATAATTCACATAGTCCCAATGGGCCAATATATAGCTGTTCTCACCAACTTGACTATAGGCCTTACATTATATAAATCAAAATCTTATATGACTATTTTGAAATTTCAGTTGTTGTTAAATATCCCACTGTTGGTTCATGTAAATCGTTTACATCTTGTATTGAGAATGCACCATCTCTACCAGGAACAGTTACTGGTAATATTCCGTCATTTATGTCTGCCCGGGACACCGATAGATGGTGCCAGTAGGTATAACATTCTGATCTAAACCTAGTTCCAATAGACCTTACTAAAAGCTTTATTGACCCGAAGAGGTGAATCCTCCGAATACAAATGGGACCCAATATTAAAGGTATACTACCTCTTAGGATGACCAAAATATTGAAATTGTAAACATGGCCAAAATGAGTTTTTGTTCATCACTGGTGTCATACTATTCGACAGAATCCATAAGTAATAATCAAAGTAGTTCTGAAACATTGTTTAGAAACGGTTTTCAATAACTACTTAGTTGTTCCCAAACTTTCTCAGCCTCCACACCCCTGGAGTATTCACCTAGACCTTTCACACCCCCAAAAATTTGTTTCATCCACATTTTCAGCATGTGTTAGTGTGAGGTACTCTCTCAATTCAAAACAAATTCTTCTCCTACACCAGTTGGCCACACCTCTGACACCCTAGTCCCACACACACACCCCCAGGAGTTGTAAACTCTCCAGGTTGGGAACCGGGGACTTAGTTTAATGGATATAGAGATTACAGTTTCTGGTAAAGCACATATTTTATTATATATCAATTCACCTCACAATTATTCATGTGTAGCCATGAATATATTTCAGGGTCGCCAAATATTATATATCTTGTGGAGTAGCAGCCAAGTCGTGTAACCTGGGTGCGGACTATACTTCCGATGTTTCTAAAGTTCAGGCGAATACTAACCAAACTTGTACTGGGGGTGAGTTTTGCACTTCACGATTTGGCTTGAAAAACTAATATTCTATTTTTGTGGCCATTGATTTCAGGGTAGGTGTAGGATATTAAGATGGATTTAAATTGCAATTATTACTAATCTATAATTAGCGGCTTAACTAGATTTTATAATTGTATACTTCGTTACATTTTTTTTAATTTTGTATTTTTTGGGGGTTGGGAGCCTTTGGACTTAGTTCAATCAGTCCCCGTGGTAGTTGAGCGACTGCTATAATCCATCGTGTAATGTGTAAACGTTATTTCCAATACAAACCACCTGACTATCCAGCTATTAAACTTTTTGTTACAGTTCGTGGACCCTGTCCTTCAGTCTTGGGTTGCTTGAAGTTTGGGAATACACCGATTTTTAGGGACATATGCCCGTGAGTAATATTTTACTGCGTTGTCTGATGCCTTCTTCTATTGACCGTTATACCATAGATCAAAACAGTTATGGGTGTCCGCTCAATCTGTTTGAGGTGGAGGCTCACACACTTTGAAATTTTTTTTTTAAACTTTTAGGCATGTACTCAAAATGTAATATTGGTTTTGAGTATGGAGCTCTAGATTTATGGAGAAGTATTGATCAGGATTAAAATCATCGAACTATGATTTGAAATAAGAAAACCGCATAAAATGTTATGTCTATATTTGTAGAAAAATACCAGAATTCGTGACCTGTACCGACGATGCTTTGAAGGGGTGTGGTGATGGAAGTCGTGTTAATGCTGCTTACAGTCTATCTGATGTAAAGGATCTATATGTTGAAACCTGTGATGGTAATTATACTCAAATTATCTTTAATTTATATTTTAGTTGCTCAAATTGGACAGAGCGCTGTATGTAAAACATTCGACTATTTTTTGATGTTTTAAGCTACCAGAACGATTGTCAAGAAGAAGATATTTATTTCTTCTAACACCCTACTTTTTTTTCTCTTAATTGAACGTCTCCTTACTTAGAGATATTGTATCAGGAAAGCGGCTTTAATCTACTCTTTTTTTCTCGATTCAAACAAACATCCACTCAGAGACTTTATTTTTCAAATATTATCTTTTCGGTCAGTGACCGAAAAAACCTCGGTGTTTTCCTGTGATGCTCTCAGGATCGTGCTTTATCCGACATCTCAGCTCTTCAAAATTTTCGGCAAACAAGACTTCATGGATTAGCCACTTGTGACCTTGATAACATGTGGTATTGCGATTTAGAGGAGGAACCGGTCAATTGACAAGTTCCTTTTAGAGATTAAATAGTGATATAGTCGGGACTAAATGGATCTCGGTTTACAAAGGATGCGGAACACGTTTCTTGCTAACAAAAATGAGACGAAACTTTATTTATATTATAAGCTATCGACAAAATGTTAATTTATGAGCGAATTCAAATGTAGGGTGAATATGAAACCTTTAAACATTTTTTTTGAACAAGTGAAATATTTATATTTCCAGCCATGAATGACGAGTTGTACCAATGTACTTTGGTGAATTCTTGTCTTGATTTACTGTTACCATTAAACGCTGGCGACATGATTTACGAATTATCTGATCAGACCTCGTGGTGTCGGTAAGCCATTTTTTATTGTCATGTTGCTAAAGAATGCAGCCAACGTAAGAATCGTTAGCATTTGAAGAAAATGCGAGAGGTAAGGAAGAAAGTTCAGAAGTCATTGCTATGTTTTATTTTTAGACAAACTTGATGTTGTATTAGTTTTGATAAGGACTATGAAGATCTTAAATTAAGCGCAGATGGTATAACAAATAATATTAACAGGGCGTATCTCGAAAATGCCTAAAGGGAGGGTGAGGGAAGGGCAACATGGGAGTGGTCTCTCCGAGATAAGGCCTATCTAGCCCAATCCCCTTGAGCCTGGAGGTGTAGAGGCTGCCAGAGCCCCCAAGAAGCCAGCAGATTTCAGATGACTTGTGATTTTTAGCGTTGACAAATGGATCGATATTGATTTTCAATGGTTCCATGATATACAAGCTATAACATTGTTATTATTATTGCAAATCAAATCAAATCTGCTTCATTTTTATAGTAACCTAAACCGAATGTTGAAATGTACAGCTGATGTATCAACAGCCTGTAAACAACCAAAATCTGTCCATGACAAGTTTATGATGTTGTACAACAAAGTTATCAAGCTCTGTCCAGGTATTTGTTTTCTTTCGATTTTGCTATACCGGAACAAACGGTTAAAGTTGCTGTGTGATTTACATTGCATATTTTGAATGAATTATATCATACCCCCCTTCCTCTCCAAAAAAAAGTTTGGCAACACAAATTGTAATATTAGTTCATTTGAAGTTGATCCATACCCCCGTGTAAGTAATGGCAGTCTGTTCAAACCTTATACAACGCCAAAGGAATTTTAGCCAATATACTGATGTGTCGCACGCTGCATACCTATTTCTTAGGGACGAAACCAGTAATTCATAGCGGAGTTTGTTTACTGAAACTTTTTGTTGAATCTTTTTAAAACAAATTGGATAGCAAAGGGGTAATAAGTTTTTTCGGGTTGCATTACGAGCTACGGCCAGGAAGGTTCCCAAAGGCAGCTTTTTATCCACAATTTTCTATACGCCCACATGGAAATATTGCGTAAATTGCCGTCGCCTCTGTCCGTCCGTCCGTCGGTCCGTGCGTCGGTCCGTTCATCCGTCCACATTTGTTGTATGCACAATACAGGCTACAGTTTTAATCTGATCTTGATGAAACTTGGTTTGCATGTATATATTGATAAGATGTCGGTCAAGTTCGAAATTGGTAATAATCGGATGAACGGTTTCAGAGTTATTGCCCTTGAATTAGTAAAAACTCGTTAAATTTGGCTTGTATGCAAGATAAAGGCTGCAATTTTTATCCACTCTTGATGAAACTTAGTATGCATGTATATGTTGATGAGATTTCGGTAAGGTTCAAAATTGGTAATAATCGGATAATCTCAGAGTTATTGCCCTTGACATAGTAAAATTGCATTAAAATTGCCTTGTTTTAGGCAGGCTATAGACTACAGTTTTTATCCGATATTGATGAAACTTAGTATATATTGATGAGATATCGGTCAAGTTTGAATTTTGTCATAATCAGATGAATGGTTTTGGACTTATTGCCCTCGATTTTATAAAAATCTTAAAAAGTCTTTTAAATACCCCCTTTCCCAGCTGAAAGTTAGCGTTTGGTCAATGGGAAAAATTAGGTCAGTCAAAATCATCAATAACTTATCCACACAGCGGAATATTTACGATGACAAGGACTAGGCAAAACGTAGTATTTTCATTCCGGATATCATTGCGGATTCATTGTGTACATCTACATACATCGTTCATTGCATTGCGTTGTACAACAGATAGTGGAACGTGGAAGTATAATACCAATTCAAATATGGTAATTTGTTTCACGTACAAATCGAAACAGGAAAAAAATATGGTTCATTACGGTTTTTTTGGTATAATATACATGTATTGATAAATCTATTTTATAGATGACCAGAATAACAGTAGTGGCGGTCAAGCAGGAGGTGGGTATCTTTTACAAATTTGTCGGATGGAAATTCTTGTATAAGTACATGTAGTTCAGGGATGTCGTGTGTTTTATGGATTTGGTTGGATTGGATTTTCATTTCTTTAGCACAATGCAGTCTTTAATTATATTCTGCATTAATAGAAGTAAAATTCCAATATTTTATTTCCGTAGCCAGGCGTTATTTTCAACTTAAACACTCGACTAATTTCATCGGTCGTTCAACATAATATTATCACCTTTTGCATCCACAAGGACCAAAAGTCTTTTAAATACCCCCTTTCCCAGCTGAAATTAGCTTTTGGTCAATCGGTAAAATTAGGTCAGTCAAAGTCATCAATAACTTATCCACACAGCGGAATGTTTACGATGACAAGGACTAAGCAAAACGTAGTATTTTCATTCCGGATATTATTGTGGACAGCTAAAATAAAAACACATTTAGATTATTAATGTATATGCATGTACCTATAAAATCAAACTTGTTTTGGTGCAGGCACGCGAACGGTCTTGGTCGACTGAGCGACCGTTAACGTTACGCTTAATGTTGGCAAAATTTTTGTCGAAGGTACTGATTTGCTGTATTCTATAGCGAACAATCTAATCAAATCGCTGCATTCGGCGATACAAGAATAGAGCTAAATAAGAGGATGCTTGACATTGTAAGCCGTTGGTATATTCCATTAGTTATGCTTAAGATGTTTTTGACTTTTTCAATATTCATTTTTCAGCGACTGGTGTTATCTTCATGATTACCGTTTTCTTAGCGATCTTCATTTAGAATATATAACAACTATGCCTGTTTTTTGTTTGTTTTTGTTTTTTATATCAGAAGTTTTTTTTAATAACATATTTAGAATCGGGATGCATGAACAAAATAATGACAGCTTGGGTAAAGAGATGTACACAATTCATCCATAAAGAGATGTACACAACTCATCCATAATATTATTTTGTGATCAAATCCCTTTTTACTGTATTATTTTAGTTAATATTAGTATTTTTTATTTTATGTTGTTTTTGTTCTTTTTGTTAAACATTTTCATTATCAAAACGTCGTAAATTATACCTGAAAATATTTCTTAAGTATGGTATATCTATCTATGTATCTTCTTGATCAAACTGAATCTGTTAATCTTGCTTTATATTGGCTCGATATTATTAATTGAAACCTTAAGAATACGTAGGAGACATATTTCTTTACAATTGGGCGGTTTTTTTTTTAATGAAATCCGTACAACAGTACAGTAACCACATCCAAAAAGCATAACAGACTTAAGCAGTTCACGTTTTTAATAGTTTTGGCGTTAAGCCATTGGATGGCTAATGTATTTTCGAAATTGAACAAATTCTTTTTTACTAATCAAAAAAATAAATCTTAATTTTGATGTACGTTTAGCAAAGAACAGTCAAACATAAATCAAAGATTTTTTTTCAAAAAGCTGATGTTCTTTTTTAACTAACAAACTAACTGTTTTAAATATTTTTGTAATAAAATTAAACATTTGAAGTTATAACGTTTTTATTTCCTTTATTGAACTGCAGTCTATTAGGAACTGAGTATAAATAATCAAATTTCATTATATTTGAAATACATCTGTACAAGTTATTTAGTACAGGTTACTTCCCTTAAGATGTTAACTTCAATAAAATTCAATAAAAATCTGAAGTTAAGCAATTTGTAATTAGACCACTTCCGGATAAAAAAAACATCAGCATGTTATACAGGAAACGACTATTTGCACCTCTATTTTTCTGCATCTAAATCTCATTTTCACAAATTCTGATAGAATGTTAATTTCAGACATCAAAATTCAAATCTAGACCAAAAGAAATGCATGTGAAAAACGAAAAAAGTGGAAAAGAAAGGGATGTCGAAAAATATCACTCACTACATATGATTAATTCTAGTGAGTCTGAATAATATCTGTAATGTGTTGACATACAAGACATAATGTTTGAATAACAAGAAAACTTTCGAACTATTTTGGCAATATTTATATTACGTTGTATGTTATTTGTGTCATAGTCTATAAGAGATAAACCAGCCATCTGTTATATCGTCATGCAAATATAAGTTGAAACTTTACACGAGGGGAGACCGGGGCTACTTGTAACATTTCTACTATTTTATAAAAACTTACACCAATTTGAAGTGATATGTGTTATAGAAACAGCTTCAACTACTGTAATTTTCGCGCAAACTCCTTTTTCTGAAATGCAATCCCTATTTGAGGTAGTAAAGGAAAGAAATTGAATTTATTTTGATAAAACATACCCCTTGGTCAGGGTAAATTGTAATATAACACTAAAACACTTATAATCGCAAATGGTTTCTATTATGGATACCAGTAACTGGTTACAACATGTACAAATCTAATTTCCCTAACATCCTTTCCTTGAAGAAGGGTTACATTTAAACCATAAGATGATTTTTAAAAACTCAAAATCAGATTCATCCCAGCTACAATTGTGTAAAATGTATGGATTCACTGTCGGTGCAATCTTTGTGTGACCAGTACTAAAATTGAGCACATTTTATCCACTTTTCACATGTTTTGCAATTTGAGTACACATCTAGCCATTCCTGAACACAGTTACAACTTACCCCACGAAGAATGTTACAATTAACCCCGCATCACCTGTTCATTTTTAAATCTCTTACCCACCAAATATGAAAAGTGGAACAGCGTCAAATCACCATCTAAACAAAGAAGCAATGTTGAAAGATCCTACCTTTAATACCTCCTTTCTCTTGTCATAGATTTAAAATATTATAGACAAAGTTTTAACAATATCTAAAATTTGACTTTTATGTTTTACAGTCGAGTTCTAGACGCAATTCCACCTTCTTCAGATATTATGTTAATAGCTACACCATCATCTATGAGTAAATAAGTCTATAGAAATGTAGAGTGTGTATTATGAATAACGGGCTGTGTTACAACTAGCTCCGGTCTCCCTACAAATGATATAAAAGATACAATTAATATAAAACATAAATAGAATTTCTAGTGTGACCAAATTTCAGGGGAGAACGCTCCCTGTAATCAATTGTTTGACAAATCTTCAAAATTGAAATAAGAACGTGCGTAAAATGTAATCTGCCTGGTGTATCCATATTACATTTGGGGCGTCTATTTGTGAGTTTTGTACGTTCGAAATTCATGGAATCAATCGGGAAGTTCAATAAGTTCAATTTGGTACAGGGTTCAGAATGTATTCTACCTGCGCCAAAAAAGAGAGCGGGTGTACAGAGACTTAAAATGGCAGAGAAGGGAATAAAATGGTCTCGTCTTGTCGTTAGTACTAATAGTAGGGTCAAACAAAGAAAACAAACAAGAAAACTCGAGATTCGTGTTGGCACCAAAGAGGTTGAAAAACTATGCTTAATTGTAATGATTTACCTGTAACTGTTCTGAAATTGTCTTATTATATGTATATACACATCGCTTGACTCGAGACTACTATCCCACAGAAAACTAGAAAATAATGGCCATCCCTACACAGGCTGAGGTTGAGAGCTGGATGCTAGTCAGTGCAGACCAATTTAGCGATTTTTCTAGAATTCGCCGTGTTGAATTAGCAATACTTAGATCTACAGGATAAATTTAGTATTTAAGTGGAAAAGCTATGAAAGAAAAATAACAATTTTTAATTTTCATAAATTTGCAACTGTTGCTCGGTTTTATACTGTATGCATTTCATTTATACTGAATCATTTCTATTCGATTGTAGAAAAGCCGACAAAAGTTGTACGACTTTTGTGAGAGTTTGTCAAAAATGAGTATGGTATTCAGACGAGTAATTAAGAAAATATAGTATAGTACATCTGAAATATACGACCAATCCAATCTTTCATTGTATTTAAAGGGATTGTGAAGATGACGATCAGTGGCCCCGATACTCATTTACAATCTCAAAGGCTTTTTTCCTTACTTTCATTGTAATTCTTATTTGACTAGACTGAAGATTAAAATAAACATGAATATGTTGTTCTAAAAGTTAATAATTAATCTTGCTCTATGTTAATTAAAATATAAACTTTCAAACTTTTTAGCCGAGTTTTCAGTATAGAGGGAATTAGTATCAGTGCACGTGCAGATAAATAAGATAAATAGACCCACACCGTGTGTATGAGAACATTAAGCGCGTGCTAGCAGGATGTTTACAAGCAGAATGGTTATAAAGAATGAAATATATTCTCACAGACGACATTATACATCGTGGTCAGACGAGATAATTTCCCGCGTAAAAACACAACAGACGGCTTATCAGTGGAATAACTTTTGAAAATGAATCATGTTGTGGCACCAAGAAACGTTCTTTATTCTACAACAGTAAGATAAGAACTTTTTCAAGAAAACTGTTGATACTTAAATCTAACGTTGTCATGGTGACTGAACTTTTATAATTTGGACTTAAATTGAAAACAAAACATGAATTGAAAGTTTATATTGGGTGGAGAATGTTTGATTTTTTAAGAAATTAAATATCAGCGTGGGACATGAGAAAAGTTCATGTTATAACAGTTCTGCTCCAGCCATATCAAATCATTGGTTGTTTTGGAATACACGCGACTACAAAATACTGTAAGTAATACTTTTGGTTATTAGTTGTGAAGATTTTCTTTATAATAGGCTTAAATGATTATGTTATTTCATTTATTTATTAAAGACAATTATGAACAATTTACAAAAACATAAAATATTGGTTTCCTGCCTAAGAAGACATATGAGACACTACAATTATAAACAGAATAAAACATTTAATAAACATAAAATAAACAAATAATACTGTATACGTTTCTAAATTATTTACACTTAGAATGTAAAAGACTTCGCATCTTGAAGAAAGATTTCGCTTTTACACAAGAGAAACATGGATCTTGCCGCAGAACTTCAAACGGAAAATTTGACGTGAATGGAAACTATTGAAGTTAACTAGCTTTTCAACTCTTCTTGGGACCAAAGAAAAAGACGCGGAAGACTAGTGTGCGTTATAAGAAGGCCATTTAAGTAGGGCACATATTACACTCTTAAATTTGTATTTAATTACTGAATCCTGACGTAAATGAAACTTTTATCTTAATTGTAAATCATTATTTGTGTTAAATTAATAATATTTAAAGTATTAAAGGAGAAGTCAGTATCCCATTTATATGAGATTTTACTTGAGGTAAAACATCATTAATTAAGGTACCAACAGAATATGGACGGGGTACGATGCG